AAAAAAAAAAAAAGAACTACAAAAAGTAGATTAAGAACTACAAAAAGGGCTGGGCACTCTGGCTTATGCACTTTGGGAGGCCAAGGTGGGAGGATCACTTGAGCCCTGGAGTTTCAAGCTGCAGTGAGCCATGACCATGCCACTGCCCTTTGGCCTGGGCAACAGAGTGAGACCCTGTAAAAAATAAAAATAAATTTAAAAAACCCTACAAAAAGCATACAGAAAGAATAAAGAACAAGCCACTAAGCAATACCAAGCTTAAGGAAATTGCCAACACAGCAGAGGCCCCAGTCATACCCCCTTCCTGTTTTTGCCTTCAGAGATAACCAGGGATGTAAATTTTTTCAAATTCTCAAGCATCTGGCTAGACTTTTGCTGGATATACATAGATCCTTAAGCATGCCAAATATTATTTCCATATTTTATACTAGATTACTGCACACTTTCTTTTGTAAACATTTTTCCCCCTCAATGTTGTTTCAGGTGTGTTCTGAACCGTATCACTGCTCTAGCTGAATTCATTTTCACTGCTGTAATCTCTTGTGTGGATGGACGACGATGGTCCCTTTTCCTATTGAAGGACTTCTGGTTGCTTTCCAATTTCTTGCTATCATGAACTATGCTGCTCTAAGTGTAACTGTACACCTGATATTTCTCTACATATTTGTGCATGGACTTCTCAGGGCTTTTCTCAACTAGAGTTCTGCAAGAGAATTCTGGCATAAAGATGATTTCGGGGAGGATGTTCTCAACTTTCCCACCGTCAGTACATAGCTAGCACATTCTAGATGTTTAGGAGGCGGGGCGAGGTGGCTCAAGCCTGTAATCCCAGCACCTTGGGAGGCCGAGACAGGATGATGGCTCGAGTCCAGGAGTTGGAGACCAGTGTGGACAAAATCATGAGACCCCATCTCTATCAAAAATATGAAAAATTGGCCCAGCGTGGTGGCTTGTGCTTGCAGTCCTAGCTCCTCAAGAGGCTGAGGCAGGAGGATTGGTTGAGCCTGGCAGCTCGAAGCTGCAGTGAGCCGTGATCACGCCACTGTACTCCAGCCTGGGTAACATAGCAAGACCCTGTCTCAAAAAGATAAAAAAAAAATTTTGGGGGGCCAACCTGATGCAAATAGCATCTAACTGTGGTCTCGGTTTACATGTACGTATTTCCTGAATACCTACATGGTTGAATGTTTGCCTTTTTTTTTTTTTTTTTGAGATGAAGTCTTGCTCCGTTGCCCAGGCTGGAGTGCAGTGGTACAATCTCGGCTCACTGCAACCTTTGCCTCCTGGGGTTCAAATGATTCTCGTGCCTCAGTCTCCTGAGTAGCTGGGATTACAGGCACTCGCCACCATGCCAGGCTAATTTTGGTAATTTTAGTAGAGATGGGGTCTTGCCATGTTGGCCAGGTTGGTCTTGAACTCCTGACCTCAGGTGACCCACCCATCTCGGCCTCCCAAAGTGCTGGGATTACAGGCATGAGCCACTGCGCTAGGCCTGTTTTTTTGTTGTTTTTTGAAACAGAGTCTCGCTCTGTTGCTCAGGCTGGAGGGCAGTAACGCAATCTCGGCTCACTGCAACCACCACCTCCTGGGTTCAAGCCATTCTCCTGCCTCAGCATCCTGAGTAGCTGGGATTACAGGCGTGCAACACCACACCTGGCTAATTCTTGTATTTTTAGTATAGATGAGACTTCACCATGCTGGCTATGCTGGTCTCAAACTCCTGACCGCCTCGGCTTCCCAAAGTATCGGGCTTACAGGCGTGAGCCACCACACCTGGCCGAACGTTTGCCATTTGTATTTCATCTTCTTCATACTGTTTGTTCACACACTGCCCATCTTGTTAGGTTCTCTTTTTCTGATTTGTAGACATTATAACCCGCATGCAAATTATTTGCCTTGTTGGATGTTGTAACAGCTCTGTCTTAACAGCATTTTGTTCTTTTCTATTCAAAGTCTCTGTGCCTTTAAGCACCTGGAGCAGATTGACTGCTGAGTGTATTTGTTTACATGCCTGAGAATCTTCGAATTCGTGAGGATCTGATCCCGCTGTTTAGTTTGCTTTCACGCCCGTGTTTTGTAATTTTCAGGATGTGCCCTCGTGTTTAGGGTGGATTGTGTGTGAGGATCTTCCGTAACGAGGGATGAAGTTAGGTCCCTCCAGGGAGGTTTTGTGTCACAAACATCTTGGCTTGGTTGTCTGCAAACCATATTGGTATTACAAGTGTTGGGTCTAAATGAGTGGTGACGTTTTCTCCTGCGGCTCTCAGGCAGAGAGAGGACACAGTGCTTACTCTCAGGGGTGGAGGGCAAATGTTTTTTCTAGTCCATCTTTTTACTGTGAGTATCAGGACCCTCGAGGATCCCAGCTTCACGTAGGAGTCAGCTCCGTTGCATTTCACCATCTTCCCGAGGCCCAAAGTCCTATCTGCCACCTGGCCCCCAAACCTAACCTAAACCCTGCGGTTTCCAAAAGCAACTCCGGTGTGAGCCCATGGCGACTTCCATGTCTGCTTCCTTCGTGTTGGGCTCCTGTGGATCTCCTCGCTTTTTTATGGGCACGGCTAGGCGCGTCTGCTTTATTTCCTGCATTTCTACTGTCTGTAGTGGAGGGTTTGCAGGTCTTATCTGGTAAGTTGCTGGAAACTGAAGTCTCTCTTCTGTCCTGTGGACCAGCCCTCTCCTGTCCCTGCAGTGTCCCAGCATGGGGGCTCTGCAGGGTGGGGGATGGTGACAGCCCACACTGGAGCTCGGCCCCGGGGGTAGCAGCACGGATGGCAATGGGGTCAGCTCCAGGGTTTCCTGGAGGGGCCATCAGGGCTGGCTGCCGACATGGGTGTGGAGAGCGAGGGGAGGGGCCCCAGGGAGGCCTCCAGGGCTTTGGTCTGAGGCCTGGGCTAGGGCAGCATCACTGACTGAGATGGGGAAGACCTACGTGGGCAGAAGGCTCTACTCGGGCCGTTAGGTCGGATGCCCGCTAGACACCTGAGGATGAGCTCAGCAAGACAGGAGAGGGATGGGGAGAAGGAAGGCAAGAGGCTGCTGGCCAGGCAGGACCATTAGCACCGGTCCAGGAGGGAGCCAAGGACAGGTGGCACTTCCTGTCTATGTGCTGTTTCCCCCATGGACCAGGTAGCAGTTCACAGAAGCACCTGGGGGCCTTGTTAATGTTTTCTGGGACCCTGGCCCCAGAGCCTCCACTTTGGCGGGTCAGGGCTGGCCCATGAACCTGCATTTCTAGCTAGGACACAGGGGATGCTGCTGTGGACAGAAGGACCACGCTCTGAGTCGGCCATTAGTTTGGGGAGAGGTGGGGACAAGCTGTTGGCCATCTGAGGGTGGAGCAGATTGGATGAGAGGAGAAGACGCTACCTCCGTGGCCTCATCTGTGTGGCCCGGAAGTGGTGGCCCACGGTCCAGCGCCGCAGCTGCCTCTGCCCGCAGCTGCTTTTCCTGTGTTTCAGCTGGGGAAGCAGAGGGAGCTGGTGACACCTCGTGGGGCCACAGGGAAGGTCGGCGATGAAACCAGGCAAGCCCTGCAGCTGCCTGTGGTCACGCAGGAGGGGTCGGGACCACGCCGCATCAGAGGAAGGCTGTGGAGCATTCAATGAATGGAATTTAATGTAACTATGACGTGAACACACACAGGGTAGGGAGGGCGGGTGACCAAGCGCAGACGTGGGTGACACGTGGCCCCGCTCTCTGGACCCTCAGTGGGAAAGAGTCTGAGGCCGGCGTCTCTCACCAATCCCCACCTCCCCTGGTGGGTCAATACTGATCCGGCTGAGTGACAGCGTCTTGTGACCCAGGCTGGCCCTGGGAAGGCGCCACAGGCGAGCCCTGCGAGTCCAGGCAGCAGGCAGACGCTGCGGTGGCCCCGAGAGCGCCAGGTGCCGGCCCCAACGTGTAAACGGCCCGCTGCGGGCGCTGCCGGGCAGGAAGACAAGAGGGGTGAGGGCTCGTCCTCACTAAGTGCTGCCTGAGTGCCGGAGGACGTGGGTGGGACATGGGGACAGTGAGGGTAACACAAACAGCAACGAACGCACAAAGACAAGTTCCAGGAACACCCATAAACCCATAACATTCAACAAAATGGCAACAAAATGACGCCCCTGCTGGCCCGGCGAGGCTGGTGCTTCCTTCGTGGCAGATGCCAACTGCAGCTGGCTGGCTGGCAAGCATTGGCCAAGCTTTTTGGTACCTGGGAGCTCAACAGCATAAAAGGCTGTAACCTCAAAAGGGAAAATTTTCACATCCTTCCCCTGAAACTGACTTCAGGGGGAAAAGAGATGAGCCTTCTCGAAGACCAGCCTCTTCTGGGAAAGGGGCTTCTGAGACGACTGTCAACGGCAGAGCAGGTGGCCTGGGGAAGGCAGGGGTCCCTGGGCGGAGGCTGGGAGGGTGGCCAGAGACCAGGGAGGGCCCCTCCATCTGGCGGGCTTGGCAGGTGTGTCCCAGGAGCCCCGAGGCCGGGGCATTGGCCGCGACAGCCCCTCACTGGGTCCGGAGCTGGTAATCTAGGAGACAGGAGGGAGGCATCATGCTGGGCTCTGCACCCTTCCAGCTTTCGGGACCCGACCCAATGGCTCCACCCTGGGGGTAGCCACAGAGGACCCCTCAGCACAACCCCACCCCACGGGTGGGGCCTCACTCACCTCCGTTCTGCGTGATATAACGCACCCACGGCAGGGCCTGGTATCCACTCTTCTCAATGATCTTCAGGTAGCGCACCTGGGGCACAGGTAGCAGGGCCCTGAGCACCGCAGGCTCCCGCCCTGTTGGTCCCCCCTTAATCATTCCTGCTGGGGCAGCCTGGGGTTGGCAGGGAGGCCATGACAAGCGGATGAGTACAGGCCTCGGGGGGTGAAAGGGATCTGTCTGGACCATGCAAAGGTGTGGGAGGGCAGAGCCGCCTCTGGAAGCGCTGAGGAGCCAGGTTGTGGCTTGCAGACATGGCCTTGGCGGCCTGCTGGGGGCGCCCGGCCAGAAGGCCCCTGGCTCTCTGGGAGCCTCTTCTCCCTCTGTGGGCTCCTGAGGGGGTGCCAGGGAAAAGTGTGGGAGCCTCTCCTCCCTCTGTGGGCTCCTGAGGGGGTGCCAGGGAAAAGAGGTCCCATGGGGCACGAGTGTGGATGGCAGAGCCTCAAACGCTAGTTTTGGGGCAGAATGATCTCTGAGCTTTGAGCTCAGGGGTCAGGGCTGAGCAGAGGCAGCCTGGCTTCTCCCCATCTGTGGGGAGGCAGAGGCAGAGGCCCGTAGCACTGCAGGGTCCTGATTCCAGCTGACCGACACCCCTTCCCAAGCTGGCTGCGTTGATGTGTCCCCTGCGGCCTGTGTCCCTGCTCTGGGCCCAGCCGCCTGGGCCTTGCGTACCTGGATGCCGGAGGTAGTGAAGTACGGGATCTCGAACTTGACGCTGATTGGGGGCTTGCCCTCCTTGTCCTCAGCCTCCACGCTGGGCAGGCCGAAGTGGGCCCGCATCAGGTACTCCTTGCCGCCCTGGGGAGCAGACGGGGGAGGCGCTTAGGCCCAGGTCCTGCCCCAGCTTAGCCAACAGCTCTGGCCCTAGTGGCGATGGGCAGAGACTGACCACTCACCCCAGTCCAGGGAGCAGAGCATGAGCCCCTGTGCTGGGGAACCAAAGCTTGGCCCTGTGCTGCCCCAGGCTGGTAAGGACAGCCTCTGCTCTGGGGTGTCCAGCTGCCCCATGAGGACACCTAGGCACCCAGAGCTGAGCTCACCAAGCCGCCAGCCCCAGTCACCAAGCCCCTGCCAGTGTGGCCTGCAGTGGCCCAGCACCCCCCGCTCCAGCTCCCCGAATGCACTTTCCTCCAAGGCTGGCGAACCACACAGACCGGCCGTCGGAAGGAAGAGTGTGTAATGACCGTGGCAGGTGAGGGCTGCTGGGGACAGAGGCCACACGCCCAGTCTCAGGACAGCATGTGAAAGAAAATAGAGCGTCCAGGTGAGACCCATGACCAGGGAGAGGCGACAAAAGGAAGAAACCAAGGAGCGTGCACTGAGTGACGGGTCAGCCCTGGGTCCTGCTCCTAAGGGTGAGCAGGGGCGGCTCTGGCTCCGACTGGAACCGGAGTCCTGGCTGTGGCCTTTACCCTCTCCCTGCCTTGAGGAACAACAGGTCGCAGCCTGGTCGCCCCCAGTGCCTGGTCTCACCCTGAGCAGTCAGGGGCACGATCTCAGCTCTGGCCACGCCTGGAACCCCACAGTCTGTGCTCCCCAGGGCTCAGGCCGAGGTTCAGGGGGAGCTGCTGCCAACTAGAGCTGTTTCCACCTCAGAGCAGGGGCCGCCCCATGCACCTGGGGCAGGGCCAAGTGGTCCATCTCTGCCTACTGCCACAAGGGCAGTGTGACAGTGAGAACTCTGCCTGACTTGGTGACATGTGCTGAGTACAGACTCCGGGAGGATGACGGGGGGATGATGCAACATCAGCAACTGGTGAAGCAGGCAGCGAGGGAACAAACCTGCTCGGTGACTAGCCTGTGTCCCAAACACTCAGCCTGACCCCAAATCTGAACCTTAGCAAAGACCAAAGTGAAAACACAAGCCAAAGAAAAGGCAGGGAAGCAGACCCTCTCCAGGGGCCATGGAGGCCTGCATGCCCAGCCCGTGTTGTCGTGTTGAGCCGAATGGGTTTAATTCCGCTCTCCATGAGAGCTGTAGGCTGGCGCCAGCTCACACACCAAAACCGACTCGACGCCACAAAGGCACAGTGAGAAGGGCTCCCCGGGCAGGAAGAAC